CCCCACCACGCAAGCAATGACCTGATGATGAACGACCCGCAACAAATAAATGTGGACTTGACACACTTTGACACACATACGGGTCTGAATAGTATGTACACGGGGCTATTGCATCATAACAGTAAATGAAAGGTTAAAATAGGGGATTTTGAGTACCAAAAGCAAGAAAAAATAATTTCTGCCAATTTTGTAACATTTCGCAAAAATATTAATAGTAAGTAAGGCAAATAATCGCGTGTTTTAATTAGTTTGGTAACAAAGTATTTAGTACATAGGGTCATTCACAACAAAGTAAGACGAAATGAAAACTGACTAAACTAAATAAGTACTCTATTACTAATCTACCTACATTTCTTACAAGTGTAGAATATTAATATAAAAAGAAAGTGGTCAAGTTCGAATCGTCTGTGGCCGCAGGGGGCCATATATCGTCCGCACACACACAGGAGCGCGCGCAAACCGCCCGTGTGTAAGGGCCGTGAAGGGCATCGCTCACGGAAACCCCGTAGTTTCTCCAGCTAGCCAACACAAGGCACCTTTTATACAGTCAAAGACAGGCGAAATTAGGTTTTACAAAAAACACTTCATAAATCTATTTTCCTCTAGTCTAACGCAATTAGTATTCAAGACAAGCCACAACTATCACTGGCAATTCATACACCTGCTCAAATGCACATAAAAACACAAATTATATCGCCATTCGTGACTTGCTTACGTAATAATTACTCAACCTACTCATCAAACATCTCATCATGCAAACAAACACACAAGCAACACTCATCTACAACACAATGACAATAAGATACATAATAGCGTGAAGTTGTGTCAATAAGTTACAACTTGCCTCAACATGGTTACATATAATTGGCTACAATGCAGTTTCACTTCCTTACATCGTAATATTTTTATAAACAAATGGTTTGGACACAATATTTTAAAATAATTTGTGGTCTACATTTGTAATGAGCAATCGTAAAAAAGGTCTCAATACAAAGCTTAATTTTATTATAGCCTATGTTACTCAGTGATAACATAGCTTTTTAATGGTTCAAGACATTCTGACATCAGTTCAGTTGTTTTTGAGTTATTTCAATACATCCATAAAAAAAAATACAAATATTTCCTCTTAATAATATCAGCAGAGATAAATTATATTCCTTCCTGTATTAACAGACCATTAGACATATGATTTTTAAAAAAATTGCTTACCTTCATGCAGAAAATTCTCACAGATATTAAAATTGCATGTATTTCTGCCATCATTTTATGATCTTAGAGGAAAGGTATTGAATTGTCCACTCAAGGATCTCCAATGTCAGGTGACAATAATGTAAATAAAATACATGCAAACAACCTTGCATTCATTTGAATTTAAAATTTCAATGATATAATACTAATTCTTAGTATCATTACATTTTTTCATACATAGCATAGATGGTATTGTTTCACAAAATAGAAAATTCCAAGGCAAGAAATGAGACATAATTAATTGAGAAAATAATATTGACTTGATATTACATTTATAAGGAATTTAATAGATAAAAAATAATGAATTAAAACTCAATTAGTAATACAAACATAATTTATAGGAGTTTTAAAGTAAATGGCAACTTTGCAAATTAATGAATTAGCAAGTTACATTTATATTTGATTAACTTGAACATAATTTCATAACTTTGCCATTAAACAATAAGACATTAGTTAATTAAAAACAAGAATAAAATAAACAAAAATTTGTATTTTTCTAAATTAATTCCTTGGTTAAGGCTTCCGGTAGTTATAATGGAATTAACATACTTATAAAGACACAAAAATGTAAATATCCCTTGTTGATATTTATTTATGTCATGAGAATCATTGTCAGAACCATTGCTTACCTTATCTCTAAGGAGTGAATACATGAAAAGAGGATATTGTCCTTCCCTTACATTCCCTCCTCCTTATGCTTTCTCTCATTTTGGAATAGGGAACAATTTGGCATAGTGTCAACACATGGATATAGTAAAATTAGAATACTGTTTACCAACTCAATGACACTGGTATAAAATAATTTGATTTAATGAGATAACATTCCAAAATTTGCTTATTGTCAACTTGAACAATTCACAATTATTTCATATATGTATGGAATTTTTCCTACACATTAAGTGCTATTTATGTAAAGTTGTGTAAGAATTTTTAATGGATAAATAAAGTTTTCTTACCAACATTACTTTTAATGGGTTTAAAATATTTTACGATATTTTAATTGGCTAAGTTTGTAACTAGAATCTGACTATGATTTAAATAACTTAAACAAATATTTTAAGTGAGTAATAGCAATGCATCATCCATGTTGTATACCTAAGCTATGTATAAATGAGGTGTATATGTTATGTTTGTATATAGCACAATAAATTTCAAACTGGTAAATAAACTTTTATGCAATTGACCTTTGTCTATAAAACTCTGCCCTAAGCAGTGCTAACCTAATTCCTTTCCTTTAGTTATAAAATAATTAACTGTGTTAATTCATTTGGAAAACATTACATATAAGTATGATAATTTTTAATCAAATCTAAACGCACTAATGATGTCAGTATCGGACTCGGGGCTCGGCCTACGCGACAACTCAACTTCTAAAAGGGTCAAAGCTTAATTAAGCTAAGCGGACTCACAGACGGACAGTCTGATAAATAATTATTTCGCAATATGCCACCAAAACATTGCGCGGCACACTTTCCCAACGTGGATTGGGAGTGACACAACTCCACATACCATAGAAACCGACTTGTTCGCGCTCGACCGTAAAAACACCTTAAACTGTCGCGACGAATTATAACTGTCAAAACTTTGCCAAATCAAAAGTATTTACAAGTGTTAAACTATTCAAAACTTGTTAATACCATGTATAAACGTAGAGAATAATTGTTTATCACTACACTTACCGAGTTCAAGTAAACATAAATCCAAAACTGAAGTCAGGGCGAAGTTTTTCTTAAAAACAATGCACAAAACACCAACACAACTTTTCACTGTATTAGTTTTATCATGGAAATGACACTTGTGTGAAGACACCATGCACTGCCACTGATCACAGCTATGATTACGACACTGCCACTTTAATGTTTATTTACAACGATGACCGCTCAACATTACGCATATTTCACGGGACGTCTGTCGCTGTCCAACGAGTATCGGCCATTTTGCTCTTTGTTGAGTGACAGTAAGAGAAAAAGAGATGGATAATGCCCGGTGCACATTCAACCAATACAGTCGATCAGTGACAAAAGCGTAACTTCAATTGACTGGACTGGCCCTCGAACGGCACTCAGCAGTGAGAACGCTAATTGGCACCTGTGAGTGTAGATGGCAGATAACTGGCGGAAAGCTGTACTTTTAAGGTCAGTCCAGCAAATTCCGTCGCAACTGACGTAATGTGAACGGTCCGTCCTGCGTCCAAACCAGTGATGATGCTTCTACTGAACTCCAATCGAGTTTAGACTCGTTTGATTCATCTTGATGAGTATTTTGGTTGGTATTTTATTTGGTTTGGTTATAAAAGGCTAGGAGGAGGAGACGCACATGAAGTGGATATTTCTCCTTCCTATGCGTCTTCTCCACCGTCAAATCCACTTTTCCTTCATATCTATTTCTCTTAAGAAAAGAGTGGAAAGGGACTAAAATTAGAACTACGGCACCACACTCATCAGACGAAACGCGGAATTGCTCTCACTTCACGCCTGTCTTCTATGTGGTCGTGGTATTGCACCGGCCGAGCTGGCCCATTCGTGCGAAGATATTAAAGAGGGCTCTCTTGCACGTTAATGCAATTAACAAAAATGGGAAAAACCTCAAATTTGAAATGCTTCAAAGTTAAAAATAAAATTGAATGAAAATAAAGCCTTTTTAAAACCATCTTTTCATGTTTATCTATAAAGTGAAAATTGAGGGGGGAGTACACGGGTACAGGTAGATCTAGAAGAGATGGATGGATTGCGCGAAAGGTCACATGACCAAGAGGGGAGTGATGACTGAGACGATAGAGTGAATTGGAGGACGAAAACCCGGTGCGCTGACACTACGGGAGTAAGATAGGATAAGGAAGATGCTCAAAGTAACAAAATTAAAAATAAAGTAAACGCTATATATAATTCATTGTCAGTGTAGCATTAACCACTCTAAGGTTTTTGGATTGTCAAAATATGGATGTACAACGCCTAAACAGTCTAATCCGTGTTCCTGGATTGACTGACTATGGTGGCTGAATGTGCACCTGGCATTATGTTCTAGGGAATGACAGTTCTCAAAACTTGTATTGCTATGTGCAATTTGAGCAACTTCTTTTTTTAAACATAAAACTACACGAATATCATAGAAGTATAAGTTATATTTCAAGGTAATTAATATTTTTCTGTTACTTAAAGTACTTTATTAATTTATATTCGAGACAAATATTTTTTGAGCAAGGCAGTAATTGTCTATGCATTTCATTTCATTTTTACGTTGACGTTAAGCTTAATTTTCAACGTTTAAAAAGTGGATATGAGTTGAAAAGTATATATCGAAAAGAAATGCAATGAGCTGAAACTAGGCGCATTTAATTTTTTGATTTCTTAATATTTAAAATACATTTATTTTTTAGTGAATCAAGTTTTACAATACGCCATTTTGTTCTGTCTTGCAAACATTGCATAGAATTCTTGAACGAAAAGGTGCCAAAACCCGCGGTTATTTTGAGTTTTATTTTAATAAGTTTTCATAAACGCCAAACTTCCTAAAATGATTGATGAAATTTGTTTAAATACTCTTGTGTGTAATGTCGTAGCAAAGAATCGTTTCAGTCATTGCAGGTTATGTCTTTGCCTTCTTCAAGACCACTACGTACGATTCACCGACAAAGTTTCATTGGATACTGAAAAAAATATATTTCAGCCACTTAGTGAAGTTCTTATGAAATTACTCGGTCAAAATGTAAGTTCTGCTCATCAAAATGTATTTAATTTTAAGTCAAACTTTATCTATTTAACAATCAAATTGTTGTTATTTTAGGCTTGCGACGAAGTCCCAGGTATCGATGCGTTGTGTACGTCGTGCGTCGACAAAGTTCTTGAAACTGCAAGATTGATGGAACTATATGAAAAGTCTACTAATTTTATCAACAACGTATTCAGCAATCTCTCCAATGCATTAAATATGGAAATAGATTCAGATAAAGAAAATCAAGATTTGTTCATAGTTGTTGAAGAAAACAATTCACAATTACTTTGGATGAAAAAAGAAGAAAAGCGGAAGAAGAAAAAGTGTAATGAAAATCAATATTTTCATTGTGACAATTGTATTGAAACTTTTAGTAATAGCTCAGAATTAAAAGCTCATAATTTAGCTGTACATGATATTTTCACATGTGACAAATGTTACAATACTTTCCTAAGTGACTCCGAGCTCATACTACATGAGAGTACAGTGCACAGATACCAATGTCCTGACTGTTCCCAATGGTTGTCATCCAAGAGAGAATATAGTGAACATCATGAGAAAATTCACGGCATTGTGATATGCCAGGATTGTGGCAAGATTTGCCATGGTACAGATAAATTAAATATACATGAACAAAAACATAGCCAAAAATTTTCATGTCCCAAATGTAATAAAAAGTATACAACTAGAGATTTTTACACAAAACATGTCAAACTATGTATCAAAGGTCTTATTGACCCGCACCCGACAAGAAATAATAGAAAGGACTACACATGTGAGAAGTGTGCCAAAGCGTACGGCACTCCCGGAGGTTTACGAGTACACAATAGATTTGTGCATGGCAATGCCAAGCCTCATATTTGCAATGAATGTGGCAAACAGTTTACAGCTCCTAGTTATTTAAAAATTCACATGGTTAAACATACAGGTGAAAAGAACTTTATATGTGATTTATGTGGAGGCAGATTTGTCTCCAAGGAAGCATTACTCTATCATACAAGGAGACACACCGGAGAGAAACCTTACAGTTGTAAGATTTGCAATGAAAGATTTGTCAATGCCTCCGCTAGAGCTGAACATATAAAGTTCAAGCATATAGGCCCTACTTTAATGTGTGATATTTGTCCGAGAAAGTTTGTCACACCGCATTTCTTGAAGCAGCATATAAGCAGGCATCATGACCCAAGTAGCAAACTTTATTACGGTAGGAATACGATTCCTCCGGACATGCCCGGGGAACTGAACATGAGAACTTTTAAAATTAATTCAAGGAAATGATAAATGTTTGGCTCCACAATGTGTAATTTGAACAATTTGTTAGTATGCAGTTCAACTTAAAGCTTGCTACACACCTTGAGTTTTAACTTAACAGTCAAACTGTACAGTTCAAGTTGATGGTGTCTAGTAGGCTTAGAAGATGGTGTAATTTAGTTTAGTAATTTGAGATACATTAGAATGATATCTCCTTACCTGTGGTTTCATGTCATAAAATTCCCTATTTTTGCAGTTTCCAGCAGTATATTCTGTTTTAAGTGTTTTTTTTTATTATTGTTGTCATTCATTAATAGAAGTATTTACTATTGTTAAGTATTGAGGCTGCTTTTAAAATAGAAAGATATAATGCATGAAATAAAAATGTGCCTTATAGCCTGTTGAATATATAAATATAGCAAATTTAGAGTTATTTCAATACATACAAAAATACAAATCTTTCTTTTTTTAAATATATAGTTTATATTAGTTCAGATTGTTTGAAAAAAAAAAAAGAACACTAATTACCTTTGTAAAATATTGTGATAATTTCAAGTGTAACCATGCAGTTATACTTAGCTATCCTATATGTGTGGATTCCTTGATTGTTTCAAACTTTCGAAATGCAACCACAGCACATTGTGAGACCCAAATGTAATGAAATCTGTACAGAATTGTTTATGCAAAATTATGATAGGTTTATTTTGAAAATTACATGTAAGAAATAAATGTCTTATATCTTTTATAGTATATTTTATTAAATAATGTTCATTCCCTATACTAATAAAATATATAAAAACATTTCAGCATATCTGTAGTATAATTCAATTGAAATAAGTTTTATTTACATGTCTTTTCCGTTTTTTTTTTTAAATTCCCTCATTCGTTAAACTATGTTTATAAGTCTGGTTAGTCATATAAAGCTGAAATGTGTGAATTATCATTTTAATTGAATTCAACTTAGCACTAAATAAAACAAGTATGATTTGCACTTTTTTACTATTAATTTGCAGGTATTGAATACTGTTGCCCAACATCAGCAACATATAATTTACTGTGTGGATTGGAATGCCTTTGCACATGCTTGCGTAGTTGATGCCCTGTGATAAACTTAACATGACAGACGGGGCACTCCTCTGTTGGTCCAATATGCTTCCGCCTCTTGTGCTCCATCCTTCTTGATGCGGATAGGAAGCTTTCATCACAGATGTCACATGGGAATGGCCGCTCACCTGTGTGTAGCCTTATGTGGTAGATTAAGGCAGCATGAGTAACAAATTTTCCACCACATTGCTCACAACTGAAATTTCTTTCTCTTGTATGCTTGACTATATGATTCTTCAGTCTGCTTACAGCATCAAATTTTTTATTGCACCAATTACATGTGAGGACTTTGCCGAAACCATGATCAGTTTTTAAATGGGTCCGCAAACCATTCTTTCTTACATAACCTTTATTGCAAATATCACAAAAGAAACTTGGCAGTTTTTCTTTGCCATTGCCACATATATTGAGGTGGAATTTGTAGGTGTGTTTGTTAAGAAAGTGTTTATTGCAGCGCAAACATCTGTTCAGTTTGTGCTTGTCCATATGAGCTCTTAAAGCTTTCTTTGATGGATATTGAATATAGCATTGTTTACAAATGGCTGGGATGTGATATGCACTGTCATGTACTTTCAGCATTCTCTCTGTACTGAAGAGTTTCGTGCATTTCGTACATTGTATCTTTTTTGGATAATGAATCCTTTCAGCATGCTCCTCCAATTGAATCTGTGTTGAAAATACCTTTGGACATTTATTACATGGGTATTTATATTTAGTGTGGAGCTTCATGTGTCTGATGAGGAGCAAACTGGAGCTGAACCTCTCGCCACACTCCTCGCATATGGAATCTATGGCAGAATCTTTTACCTTTTCATACTTTTGCCTACTTTTCATTATTTCCTTTATTTTAAGCAATACCATCTTTTTGCTTTTTGATGCAAACCTCTTTCTACTGGTTAATATTAAGTTATCACTTTTGTTTATCATAAGATAGATACTTTGAGCATTATTTCCAATTACATCTGAACATGTGAGACTGTTATTTAATTGATCCAATACTTCATGCCAACTATCGTTTGAAAACACGACAAGTTTTTGGAACAAATAACAATTTATGGTGTTTGTAGCACAAGACTTGCATAAAACTTGTGGCAATAGCGGATCTGTTGACACCTGTAATGCAACAGATTTTTTAATATTAAATTTACTTAAAACTTGATTCTTTTTATATCTATTCAAAGTAAATATACTCACACCAAGATCACGGAACATTGTAACATAAGTAAGTGTCTCATCGTAATAAGATTTCCGAACTCTTACACAATCTTCTACGGAAACTTCATCCTTTTCTGTTGTCGCAAAACATAACCTACAAATATGTTCGCTATCGCCACTCACAAATCTCAATATAGACATTGCGATACGGTCGTAGGAATGCATCATTTAATAATTATTAAAAACTATACCTTATTATAGGTTTATTGTTTTTGTTGTGATCAATGTAAAATAATGTTTGTTTTGTTATGATTATGACAAACGATAACAGGACGACAGTGGTAAGTGACAGATGACAGCCAGAACAGTTTACCTTTTCACTTTCCCTTCTTTCAAGTGGTTTGAGAATTAAAGTTAATCCCGCGTTAACAATTAAACCCTGCTGTTTAACAACACGGGTTCTAGCCTAAATAATTATTTTTTAACTGAAATTAATAATCCCCATAACTCAAAAGCTACTTTCTGTAAAAGAAGGAACTGGTACCAATGGAAATTGATCACTACTTTTTTTTTATTATCTCTCTTGTTTCAAAAAAACTCCAAATAAGCTAATTTAAATTTAATTATACTTAGGTGGTATCTTTAAAAATGTTATTTTACACTGCAGATGAACTTATCTGTGGGCAAGTGAATCATAACATTAATTGAGTCCAATCACATAGTTCGATTTAGTCTATTTTTTTGGTGTTTTGGGTTTTAATAGTGTATGTGTTGGTCGTCGTAAGCAAAACAAAGTAAGCACCTCTATATTTAGTTAATTTGATATCATTTATTGTCAGGATTTTTAAAAATAGTCGCAAATACTAGTCATAAAGAAGGCATTATATTCGAAGTTCTATAAAAAAAAAAATAAGCATGAGGAGAGGGATTACATATTTTTCTGAATGTTTTCCTCAAAAAAATACATTTAGAAAAGTTTAATTCAGAACTTTGAATGTGCTTTAATAACAAAAAAGTAACATCAGATGCAATCATTATCTAAAAATAAAAGCAGATTTTTTGCGATTCTAAATTTATAAAGCCGCCAGCACCGGGTGCAATTTAAAAACGTCTATGTAATAGTAAAATGTTGGTAATCAGTGTCTAATAAGAAACTGATTGAGGAAAGAAGCGTGAATGTTACAAACTGACGAAGTTTACAATCGGACTGTAGCATTGTTTTTCTACTCAACCTAAAGGTTCGTATTGGCCGATGTTACATGTAACGTAGCACGTTATATGGCGAGCATTTATGCAGTCAGAAGATATTGTTACGGGGATACTAGTGTGCAGAGAGCCACTCGATACGAATGTTTAATTACACACCGTAAACACCTTTTCCAACGAACGCACCTTTGAATAATAATTTTTCCATTCCAAATAGTTTTTTTTTTCACTCAATAACGCAGTAAAGTATAATTAGATATTTAGCTGTAAGATAACTCTGATAGAGTTAAGCTCACCTGTACTACAACCTTTCTATTTGTATTTCTTAAAGAATGTTTTCTTTTGTGTACAAACTTTAAACAAACACAAATTTTGCATTTCAGATGTCTTCAGCGCTACCAATAATTCTACAGGGAAACAATCTTGGCGAAAGGCATCGTCATTTCAACTCTCTGGTCCACGCCGCTCACCAGCAGAGCACGTCTCTAGCGACAGTCCTCGACTTGCCCGACATCTCACGCCTTGACACACTCTTTAAAATCGAGCTCGCGGCCAAGCAACGTAATGTAGATTTCATTTTAAAAATTCTTCAACATGAAGACATGCTGTTTGTAAGTAGAGCACTAAAGTGTTGTACTTGGCTCCTGGAATCCCAATATCAAGATGTGATAAATCCTGAGCATTTAGAAGGCGAGGTGTACCCTCACATGACGATGCCTGCCGTCAACAAGATGAAGCAATGGCTGTACGTTCACCTGAGAGACGCGCAGAGATGTCGCCAGTTCTATCAGCACTACAGCAACCGCTACGACACCAAGTTCAAGTTTCTCAAGCACTGCACACCGAACTTCATCGAAGACGAACTCCTCAACATCATGGACCGCATCACACCGAAACAGCTCAAGGTTATTTGTGAATATTGTCCTCGAGCAATTAAATTATACTATGAGAATGTCAGCAAGAACGAAAAAGCGTATGCAGCCTTTTTACAAAACGAGAAGGAGTATTTTGAATGTACCAAATGCCTTTTGCACTCAGAACCTGATTCTTATTTCGAAATTTTGGAAAATCATTACTATTACGAGAGATTAGGCTCGCTGTCGTCCTCTATCACTGAATGCATCATGAAGCGACACAAGCAGAGAGTCCTGGGCAAGCCGGAGCTGTACGCGGTCTGGCTGCTCGACAGGAGCATGATGGCCAAACATCTGAACGCGGATGAAAACAAAGATATAGTGTTTAGGTTAGCGCGCGCGGAGTACCTCGGACACATCTTCTCTTATAAATTTGTGGAACCGTTCATAAAAAGATTGAAAGTCGATGAGAGAGCGGCCGTCAAAAAGAAAGTTTTCGTGGATAAAGATGTAGGTGATAAAGTAGCGAA